ATAGACAAGAACTCGCCGTATTGTCCGCTAAAATAGCGGCCGCCACATCTGGCAACGCGCGATTTAAAGCCATTAGCGAACATAAAATGCTTGTAGAAGCCCTCTGGGCATTTACAAGCCAACCATAAACTTAATAGTCCGCGCAATAAAACCGCGCTCCGCCGCGTCGTTAGTTAGAACTCATAAAAAACTTTAATGGGAAGTACAACCGCAGGTAGAACAAAACCTCGGGCTCTGGTTGTTTCGTATTTCAACGCAAACGGCATAAAGGGTCAAAGGGACGAAATCGCGGAATTCCTTCGCGATTATAACGTAGATATTTTTCTAGTGCAAGAGACATTCTTAAAACCTAGTGTACGCGATCCCAGAATCGCAAACTACAACATAGTCCGCCACGACCGGTTAGCAAACCGTCTGGGAGGCACCTTAATTTATTACAAACGGTCCTTGCACTTGAGCCCACTCGACATTCCAGAGCTAAGCCATATAGAGGCATCCGCGTGTAGGTTAGCGCTCACCGGCCATAGGCCGCTTGTACTAGTCTCAGCCTACCTCTCGGGGAACAAAACCTTATTACAAAGCGACCTAGATACGCTACTCAACTTAGGCCCTTCCGTGATAATTGCAGGAGATCTAAACTGCAAACACGGCTCATGGGACATCCACAGCATCCCAAATAACAACGGAAAGCATCTCTTTAGCTTATCCGATAATTTAAACTTTAGCATAATTGCTCCTGCGACTCCCACTAGGTATCCTACGGTGGACAACTACCAACACGCGACACCGAGTATCCTAGATATCATGTTACTCAAGGAGGTCTCGCTAGACATCGAGTCGATAGAGACAATCCATGAACTAGACTCAGATCACAGGCCCGTCCTGTGTAAACTGGGCCAGAACGCCGGCGCGGTCACTCCGACCAAATCCGTAGTGGACTGGCATCGTCTTGAGGTCAAACTCAAGGCCTTGGACCCCCAGGACTTAGTCGACCTACCCGAGACGATAGCTACGTTCGATGACGCAAATCGAGCGATAGCAAGTCTCCGAGAAACCATCACTTCCACAGTCGCAGACTCGGAACGGACGGTTAAACTGTCGGGCGATCGACGGTTTAACTTTCCGCCCGACCTGCGACTCCTAATTAGGCAGAAAAATGCAGCCAAACGCGCTTTCGACCGATACCGATCGGAATCGAACCGAACCCTACTTCGACGCCTTCAGCTAGAAGTCAAAGATCGTGTATCGGAACACCGACATACAACGTGGGACACTCTCCTAGAGGACATCGAGCCATCGCACACCCTCTACTGGCGGTTGGCCCGCAGTCTGAAAGCAGACCCCCTGCGAATCTCTACCGCCGTTAGTTAGACCTAATAGCGCTTCAGTTGCCCTAGATGACTCCGAAAAAGCCGAATGCCTTGCGGACAACCTAGAGCAGCAATGTACGCCATCGCGCGAACACATCGATACAGCCCACCTAACGGAGGTGGACCGCGTAATCGAGATTAGGGCTGCGCTTCCACCGGAAGGCGATCCTTTGAATTCAGTGACTCCCGAAGAGGTTCAAGATATTATTAAAAACTTAAAACCCAAATCCGCCCCGGGCCCAGATAATATTAGTAACAAAATTCTTAAAGCTCTCCCTGGGCCGCTTATCTGTTTACTGGCGACCATTATAATACTTTACTCTCCAGTTGCTCCTTTCCGGACGACTGGAAAGAAGCCAGGGTTATCGGCATTCGCAAGCCTAATAAACCAGCCAACCAGCCCTCTAGTTATCATCCCATCAGCCTCCTCAGTTGCCTGGGGAAGCTCTACGAGCGGCTTTTATTAAACAGGCTCAATGAGCACGTGTTTTCCAACGGCCTTCTGCCGGCGGAACAATTCGGCTCTCGAGCTAGACATTCCTGTCCCGATCAACTATTCCGCCTAACGGAACATATCCTAAAAGGCCTAAATCACCCTAAACATATTAGTACAGGGGCCCTTTTCTTCGATGTCGCAAAAGCATTCGACAAGGTCTGGCACAACGGCTTGCTTTACAAGCTGTATACACTCAAAGTGCCAGATAGGCTCGTACACACCATCCAGGCCTTCCTGTCGAACCGCTCTTTTCGATATCGAGTTGAAGGCACCCTCTCCACAAGCCGCCGCCTCACCGCCGGCGTACCACAAGGCTCCTGCCTCTCACCTTTGCTCTTTACGCTCTACACGAGCGATATACCTAAAGACCCCCACGTCAATCTCGCGCTTTTCGCGGATGACACGGCGCTCTTTTATTCAGACCGCAACCTTAGACAACTAACCACTCGACTCCAAAGCGCTGCCGACCGCCTCGGCGATTGGTTCCGCAAATGGAGAATAGAAATAAATCCCGAAAAGAGTGTGGCGATTCACTTCACACGAAGTACTTACCCGTCACATCTTTATAATGGCCCTCGTCAACGCAGAAAGTCTGGGCAAATATCCCTTTATGGCCAACCGCTCCCCTGGGAGAAAAAGGTCAAATACTTAGGAGTCACTTACGACTCGCGTATGTCATTTACTACGCACATTAATAACGTTCGCAATAGAGCCGCGTTCGTCTCCGGCCGGCTACACAACTTAACTAACGCTAAAAGTAAAATGCCCTTAAGGCACAAATTATTATTATATAAGACCTGCGTACGACCTATTATGTCTTACGCATTCATGACCTTCGCCCACACGCACCCTACTCGCTTGTACAAGTTGCAAATAGTACAAAATAAGTTCATCCGCCGCGTAACCGGTGCGCAGTGGTATCAACGCAACGTCGTCCTGCACAGCGATTGCAGACTCCCGACGATTCGCAAATATTTTAAAGACCTGACCAAACGGTTCTTCGATAGAGCCGAACATCATCCCAACCCTCTGGTGGTAAGCGCAGCAAATTACCAACCCGACAAAAACGCGAACGTCAACAAGCGTCGCCCGCGAAACGTCCTAATCGACCCGGTCGAGGAAGGGGACTTAGACACGCCGGACCCACTGCCGGGGGTCCCGCCGGTCTTTCGGTCCGAACCACGACCTCGATGGCCCTTAGATGACACACCATAGTTAAACGCACGCATGAGCACATGTATGGCCCTACCCACAGCGGAGGGCCCAAACCTGTGGGTTCTGGCTAGCCCATCGGTTCTGCGTCAGATGAAGCTTTAATAGTCTCGGGACTGAAAGCAAAAACATCAGTTAGATACAAGACATACAGATTCGTTATATGACCATTTTAAATGTATCTCCGTTAGCGAAATTTTAAAAATTTTGCGTTGCAATCCTTTAGATTGGCTAAGTTGACTAATTTGTTGTAAATACAAGGGAATTGATAACTGGCGGATTTAAGAACAGATTTATATACTAATACTCAACTCGTAACAAATACAGCCTCCTGACAGTAAGAAACTTTGCCTCGTCAAATAAAACTGCAGTCGGACATCTGACAGGTTTTTTTAAGTCCACTTTTAAAACCGCTTTCTGTGCTCATTCCAGAGATATAAGAGTAGCGGATGCTATGCCTCCCCATGTCAAAATACAATTATTTATAATCGATTGACATAGGGTCAGGTACACGGTTCTTACAGTTTTTCCATCGAATGTGTCACGAAGGTTCTTAATGAAGCCACGGTCTTTGAAAGTAAGTTTTTGTCAAGTATTATTTCTCAGTTACAGCGTTTCCCCTGGTGGTTATTCATAATTTATAAGAAAGGTGGAGGAGCCTAAGAAGCCCAGCTGTACAAGCCAGTATGAAACAAACGAGAGGGCTTCTTGAGTTGTCCGTGAAAAATAAGAGCGATATCATTTGCGTAGCAAAGGACGGTATTGCGTAAGGGTGAAGATGTTATGTTATTTATTAACATAATGAATAAAGCTGCCCCATGTTCCCTTACCCTGTTCAACACCTTATGTTACTATTGTCTTAAATAAATCCTCCCAATTTACCAGCGAGTCCATTGGTCTTAGCCGAGTAGCTTAGGGATGCCGAAAGTGAAGAAATATGTCAATATCGCCCTCGATATATCGATATTTTAATATTTTATTTTTAGGCACTCCTAGATGATGTATTAAAAATATCGATATATTTAATAAAAAATATCGATATTTTATCGGCGTCCCTAGAGGAGTGCCTGAAAATAAAATATCGATGTATCGAGATTTGAGGCAGATCTGAAAATCTGAAATAACTAGCAATAGCATTGTATTGTACCCCATTTCACCACTCGAGGGATGCTCTTCTACGCCATGAGACCTAGCGGGAGAAGCGTGACCTCATGATAGATAATTTGAATTAAATTACTTACGGCTTGTTTTACAGCTTCTTTTATCTTATGCCCCAGTCTATATGTACGAGTATCCGAAATTACAGTATTGACTGTCAACAAAAAAGTTTGACAACCATCTCTAAATCTTTATTATATTGTAAACATAGAACATTGATTTTGTGAAAAACAGGTACCATGTGAAATAAGTGTTTAATTTTTAACTTATTTAAATCTTAGATAGCGCACGTTAAATATTTTGTATTCCTCGAAGATGTTTCTTATTGATCTATAAATTTGACGACTTATTTTGATAAAATGTTCCCATCTTCAGAAAATTTCTTTACGCAGCCAAGACAGAAGTTATATAGAGGTGAAGATTTTGAAGATGACTTGAATGATCTCTTTAACAAAAAGTTTCAATTTCGCTTCATGAATGATTGGGCACTGCCGGAAATCGAACAATGGTTTTCTAATATTCCATGGAAAGTGAAAGGATTGGAATACTTAAAAAGTCGTCTTAATTTCCATAAGAGTCAGTTAAACGATTTCAGTATTGAGGAATGGAGCAGCCATACTCGGCGTAGGAATCCAGCTGGAGAAGTTTGTTGGAAGTTGAGATGCTTGGTGAATCCTGAATTTCTCACTCAAGCATGGACAAAGTTCTATGAATGTGCATCAACATACAAAGTTGTGCCTGCAGAGGCTATAATTGATTCAAAAATGGTATCCTTGCATTTGTGTGAAGCTCCGGGGGCATTTATTACATCTTTAAACCACTATCTGAAGTTGAATCACCAGTCCATCAATGTGAGCTCTACCTTACTAAGTTTTTTCAGTGTCGTTTTTATTATATTTTTTTATCTGTTATTCCAATGAAAGTTAACAAAGATAGGCTTTGGTTTGATTTAATATACATATGTAAAATTAATATATTTTTACTGATACTGATGGAATAAAAGAATTCATTGTGTGAAAAAGTGAATGTGAAGTCTAGATAAATATTAACAGATAAATAAAACAGTTCAGTACCTTTTTCTCTTCTGTTTGTCTAGTAGCAGTTTTGTTTAATAGCTATAAAAAATAAAATAGACAAAAGAGTAGTGACTTTATCATGAAAAGTAGAAATATTTTATCTGGGTTACAGGAATAAGTTTGAGTATTTGTATGTATTTCATGCATATAAAATATGTGTATAAAATATAACATTTAATTTATAAGGGGCTTAATCTAAATAAATTAAGGCATGTCAAATATCTATACTTACATAATGTTATAGATCTGATTAAATCAATTACAAAATGTGATGAAAATTATACAAATGATTACTAACAATTTCAGTGGAAGTGGGTGGCCAATACCCTGAATCCTTACTATGAAGGAAACTCCCCTTCTAATATGATCAGTGATGACCGTTTCATGTTCCACACCTTAAACAACTGGGACTTTGGTGTGGATAATACTGGTAACTTAATGGATTGGGAAAATTCTCAAGCCATAATAAAGAAAGCAAAGGCCCTGGGAAAGGTTTGTGGATGGTATAATTCAAGAAGATAAAAGGCTAAGAAATAATTGTGTTATAAGGTAAATTGCTTTATAGGTACTTCTTGTGACAGCAGATGGATCTATTGACTGCCTGCAGAAGCCAGATGCTCAGGAAGAAGTCACTTCACCACTTCACTACTGTGAAATTATAACTGCATTGCAAACACTGAGCCCTGGTAAGGTCTTCCTAAAATATATTTATATATTTTTTTTGTGTAAAAAGGCGGCAAGCGATTTGGCCGTTCACCTGATGTTAAGTGGTAACCGCCGCCCAATGGATTGCAACCGCCTTTGTAACAACTGTAGGGTTGCAGTTGCATTGCCACCTTTTAATGAAGTGCACTCCAGTTACCTCACTCACCAGACGAAATGCAGAAGTATAACACTTCAATTACACACCATTCCTCTGTGAGGCCTTGGTACTTGTACGGCCCTGCCCATTTGTGCAACAGCGAAGACTGTTGCTGGGCCCTACCATAATCAATTGCATTAGGCACAGGATTTCAAAATTCAATACTGGGGCTTCGAGGTCCGAGTGTGTAAGAATAATAGGATCGAATATCTTGTTTTTAAATACTTAAAAGTATATGGCACTATTAAGTATTCATTCTAGTTGGTATTGCGCCGGAATGTTTTACAGGTTTTATATGTTTTGTTTTTTTTTTTCAAACTGATAATTAATAGTACTATAATTGTGTTTAATTAATTCAGTGAACCTCATAAATAATTCTAAAATTAGATCACAGACAGTTCGCGACGTTAAATTCGAAATTTGTGTGTGTGTTAGTTATGAATGATCGCGCATAAAATAAATGAGTTGCCCATAAATCACGCATGTAATTAATTAATTACGAGTGATTTTAAATATTTATCATTTTTTATACAGCATTATTTATCTCTAGAATTTCATTAAAAAAATTGGATACACTTAAAAAAGCCTCCCTGTATATGTTGTGTCAATCCAAAGGCTGAATTAATCCTTTTTAAGTAATAAGGTGAACTACAATTAATCCCTACTTATATTTAACTGATTATTTTTTGTTCTAATTATTCGTATATTTGGATTTAAATTATATTATTAACTAGCGACCCGACCCGGCTTCATACGGGTAAAATATAGATTTTGAATTTCTCGATTTTTTTCCAATAATATGCGGGTATACTACATATAACCTTCCACTTGAATCACTCTCTATTGCTGGAAACTGCATGAAAATCCGTTGTGTATGGTCTAAGATCGTTTCGATTGATTTTTCGGTTTATGTTCAGATTCCCAGGCAGTTAATAGCTACCGCTCGAGCCGAGGTCCGGCCCTCTCGGGCACTCTCGAATCGGAATGATAAAAGCGTGTTGAGTGACAGCCCAAGCCGAGGTCCCCTCTCGGGGACCCTTGAGCCTGATCACTCTATTGAGCGCCCGCTAAAGCGCCCTAAGAGCTTGGCGGCCTCCCAAACCGGTGATAATAATAGCGTGACGGCCCGAGCCGAGGCTCTCTCGGGAACCCTCGAGCTCACCATAACGCGTAATAATAATACGCCGAGGTTTAGGCTAGGCGCCCCGTGCGCCAGGCCACCTCAAGCCCGTCGGAACTGTGAATGGCCCTAAGGCCAACAGTGGCTCATCCAGACCAAAAAAAGAAATTCACATTAGTTAGTGAGTTTCGAGAAAGTTTTTAAAGACGATTTAGATCGACGATTTGGATCATGGATTTGAGTAAATCATTATACATAAATAGAGCATGTTATTTATGATTAGGCAAGATAAAATAAAATGTGTATTTTTTTACTGCGATACCTGCGTCTTCCGGATAATCAAGTAAAGCGGCCGATGACCTCACGGCACGAAAATATATCTATTCCTCCTCAACCCACCTATTTAGGGTTGGCACAAAATGTGAATCATTTTATTCGTGGTAATACCTAGACTTTTAATAATGGCCTACTGCCTGACGTTAATCCGCTTTGACAAAAACTGAGATCCGGAATGGAACTCCCAATTTTTGGCGCCAAAGCCACTAGCGTAGCATATGCGCCACCTGCTCAATTAGACCAGGGTAGAAGCCTTGAAAAATAATAAAAAGTGAAAAAAAAAATAGTAGGATGAAACCCATTAGAAAAGGAGGGAAATATTATAAAAATGAAAGGAAAAATAATTTACGGGCGATCTGAGGTCGGGAAGGGGATGGGGGTGAGTTTTTAAGGGTACAAAATGGTTTTTCTCGATTTCCGGCAAAACTAAAAGTCGTATCGAAAAACGTCAAATGGCAAAGTTGTAGGTAATAAAAAGATCAAAAACTTTTATATTTACACTTTTTTCACATAACCTCAAAATTTATGTGAAAAATCCAAAAAACCAAGTTTTTGGTTTTTTATTTTTATCTTTTACAAAAATTTTTTTTTTTTAACGAAATTTGGTGAAAACTTACCTTTTTATGTCCCAAATACGCTGTAATTTATTTGATTAAAAATATTTATTTTTTCACCTTATTTTGAATTAATATCAAAAAAAACACCCTAATTTTCAATCGAAAATTCACCCGTCAAAATATCAGCTTTTTTCAAAAAGTTGGTATGGTTTCTGTTCGTTGAAATCTCTACTTTCCGATGGTGAAAAAAAAAATATATGTTACTACAGTAAATCTTCTCAGAAAATGCAAAAAGTAGAGATAGTATTTACCTTCCTATGCAGATTCGCAGTTTTTTTGTTTTTTTAAGTAAACTTGTCACAATTATCTTCAAGAAACTCAGCGTGCACGTGTATTTTTATAAACGATGTTGTATACTGTACTGTATTTCGAATACTGGTTACGCTAACGGTTGTAACAGCTGCTACGAAATATATAGTATATAATAGTAGGTATGTATGTAGTAAGACCTAGACCCGCCTAGCCCCTTCCCCACTTCTCCACGAAATACCTTTTGATGGGCTACAATTTTTCGTAGGTCACTCAGGTATATCTACTCAGGTATATATAATTTATCTTTAAATAGTTATAAATAGGCATATAATTTAAAGAAGATTCGACAACTTTCTCCAAATATTGTAGATGTCTTATTAAATATTAATTTTATTAACTTATTTGTTTGTTAATTATAGTAGTATATTTTTATTTGCAATTTTTTTGTTATCAATGTCACATGTAATCTAACGTTTTTTCGAGTAATTAAAGTGTAAATTTTAATAAATAGCTCAAAATTATTTATAATAATTAAAAAAAATTTTTCGAATTCAAGTTTTTTTTGATTTTTTGCATTTTCTGAGAAGATTTACTGTAGTAACATATATTTTTTTTTCACCATCGGAAAGTAGAGATTTCAACGAACAGAAACCATACCAACTTTTTGAAAAAAGCTGATATTTTGACGGGTGAATTTTCGATTGAAAATTAGGGTGTTTTTTTGATATTAATTCAAAATAAGGTGAAAAAATAAATATTTTTAATCAAATAAATTACAGCGTATTTGGGACATAAAAAGGTAAGTTTTCACCAAATTTCGTTAAAAAAAAAAATTTGTAAAAGATAAAAATAAAAAACAAAAAACTTGGTTTTTTGGATTTTTCACATAAATTTTGAGGTTATGTGAAAAAAGTGTAAATATAAAAGTTTTTGATCTTTTTATTACCTACAACTTTGCCATTTGACTTTTTTCGATACGACTTTTAGTTTTGCCGGAAATCGAGAAAAAACATTTTTTACCCTTAAAAACTCACCCCCATCCCCTTCCCGACCTCAGATCGCCCGTAAATTATTTTTCCTTTCATTTTTATAATATTCCCCTCCTTTTCTAATGGGTTTCATCCTACTATTATTTTTTTTGGTTTTAAGAATTATCGACCCTGGTCTAAATAATAATGCTTTTAATAATTATGATAACTAGCTGCTTCCCGCGACTACGTCTGCGTAGAGTAGGCTTAAGGCGTAACATTCAGACAGAAAGACAGATATACATAAAATATGTATATAAATTATAGCCTATGTCTTATCCTGATGTATAAGCTATATTATTGTAAAGTTTCATTAGAATCCATCCAGTGGTATTTGCGTGATAGAGTAACAAACATCTATCCATACATACAAACTTTCGCGTTTATAATATTACTAAGGATTATATGAATATTTAGGTGGATAAGAGTTCATAAATGATTATTGTTTTTCAGGTGGAACATTAATTTTCAAGCTGTTTACAATTTTCGAACATTCCACTGTTAATCTTTTGTATCTCATAAACCAGTTATTTAAAGAGGTAAACATCTATAAGCCTATCACATCCAGGCAGGGAAACTCTGAAGTGTATGCCATCTGCCTGAGGTACAGAGGCATTGATCTGTCACCATATTTACCAACCCTTCAATCTGCATTTGGAACTGAAGTCTACACAAATAAGACATTATTTCCGCTCGAAAAAATACCTGAATCATTTCTGAAGCAAATCGAGGAATGCGCCTATTATTTCTGCTCAATTCAGTGCCAAGTTATTAACAACAACCTTCAAGCATACATTATGCAGAAGAACATAGCTCTGCATAGGGACATAAAAAAAATCAGATCCTTAGTTGCATCAGAGTTCATTTGGAAATATGATCTAAAACCAATTGAGAACGAACAGGAGATTTTAAAAGGAACTCTTCATGAGGAGAATAAAATTAACACGAACCCACGCTACCACCGTGGTTCTTACACTGAGAGACATTTGTATACGAAGATGTCGTTGAAGGAAAAGCTGAGGAACTTGAATTCGTTCCTGCAGGCCGAGCTGCTGTCTAATCCAATGATTCTTATCAATGAACCAGTGAAATGGATGGCTTACGATATGCAAGCATCGAAAATTGAGCTTGTTTTCACTTATGGTAGACCATTACAGAAAATCAATAGCTCAAAGTTTATATTTGTGCCGATCTTTAAACTTTACCAACAAATTCTTTCCGAAGAGGAGTTCAAAAAGATTATTCTTTACAGACCAGCTAAGCCACGAATTGATACAAGTCTGTTCGGGACGGAAGTTTATAAAATAGTTTCACTGCCCGAATTTCAGTACACAGGCGATTATAACGTCTATGAGAAGAATTGTTACAAAACATTGCTTAACGGATTGCGGGAGTTGTTACACGGCGAATCAATCTTATTGCAGAATTTTAATACATTGACACACTTCAACGTAAGCGTTTTATATGTTTTGTCGAAGTCATGTTTTGAGAAGACCGGCCTTGCCTCATCCGGTAGTATTATTTTGAGCAAATTGATCGACAGAGCTACCTTAAAGTATTTAGAAGTCATTGAAGATGAATGCAACAAAGTTCGCGTTGACGAGAAAAAAGATGTTCTAAATTCACTTCCTGTACAGGTGACAAATACTGAAGATTTCTTCAGCAGTATCGTGTTTTACAATAACACATTCTATAGAAATAAGTGCACAGAGTATTTGAAAAAAATTGAACAATCTCTATAAATGTCTATTCTACTCTTATTGTGTATTCAATGTGTAGAAAGTATTTTTTTAAATTGATTTATTCTTGAGATAAACTGTTGTTGATGTCTTCTATCACACTGTATTAAAGAATTTCTAAGTGTTGAAACAGCTTTTTTAATGACATATAATTATACATAATATATAATGTCGACGTAATTTGGGCTATTTTAGTTCTGTATTTAAAAAAAGCCAGGGGGAAATGGCGTTCAAATATTACATTTTAATAAAATATTCTTAATATTTTTCGCAATAATTTTGGTTAAATAATCTTTCTTTTTAATATGATGCAATAAAAATCCGCACCACCCAACGTAAATGCAGAACGACATGTCCGACCGTATATAAAATGGTACAAGAGATAAGGCGCACGATGGGTCGAAACTGCTAATGCTATATGAGGGGAGGGACGTAGGAATTTTTGTTACAAATTTCATTTTAAAAAAATACCTGTCGAAAGATCTCGTCATTCTGACGAACAATTGTTATTAAACTTTTTCTCTAAAATTGATAGTTTGCCACTCCGGGTATCTCACATATCAGACGAAGCACAGAAGTATTAATGACACTTCACGCTAGTCTTCTGTAAGAACGTGGTACTTACTACTTCCCCGGACAGGTCTGCCCATTCATGCAACAGTGAAGACAGTGTAGTGGCGGCGGGAGACTTGTATTATTTATCGCGCGTTAATAGTAATATATTTATTTCAGATAATTTTACAATCCTATAGTTAGTAAAATGTTAACGTTAGTATAATTTAATTTCTGCCAGCCAGATAGTTGTTACAGTGCAAGTGATTAAATCGACGCAGTACTGCACTAATGTATTAACCGGAATTATACATTCCGCTTCGTGCTTCCACACGGAACGGACGTTACTCTGAGCCGGAGGGCCCATGCCACCGACCCGGAAGCCATTTTGCAACCGTTGTTGCTACTTTTATTATTTCTTTTATCTCTTGGTGTGCACTGCTTGCCTCATCGTTGTCGTGTTTCGCGGTCTACGGTTAGGGAAGTCTCAAGCAAGAAGAGTGAAGAAAAGTTATAGAAGAAAGAAGAAACATTATAGAAGAACGAAGAAACTTTTCCCGACTTCCGAGCGGATAGTGTTAGTGTAGTGTTGTGCTCGTAGGCAGGTTCCTGTCCGTAAGTAAGTAGAATTCTACACACATTTCTCGTCTCAGAGGCGGCATTGTAATTTTTACCTGTGTGCTTGTTGCATTAGGCGACAGCTAGGTACTCACCCTAGCGCACCTAAAGCGCAGGCGATTAAAGGTTAATTTTAGGCACACACCTCCCTGCCGCAAGGTGGGGAGGCCTATTTAGTAAACCACACGCCGGCGGGGCGCAAGCCCCAAAGGCTCAAGCGTCGACATGGGTTCCCTCATAGAGGAATTCCTGCGTCAAGAATGCCCCGAATTATGGGTAAAATATTTGAATTTCGCGAGGGAACGACGCATCGTCGTCGAATTCTCTAGCGACAGTCCGGCTTCACCGGTTGCCGCCTCGCCGCCGTCTCCGGTGCCCTCTGCGCCAGTTATTGTGTCGCCCTCTGCGACTATCGAAACGCCCCTCGCGTCTACCTCCGCCGCCGCGATCGATCCTAACGCGCCTTCCGCGCAACCAATTTCGGCCCCCTTCCGCGCTGTCGTTCCCGACTCACAATCGGACGGCGGCTCAGACATGGAGGTCGAAACGACCCCCGCTAACAACGCGAACGCCGACGGCTTCACCGTCGTCAAATCGCGCAAAAAGGGCAAGAAACGCCCCGCTACGGACAGCGACCACGAAAGCGAGGCCGCCCCGTCAAACCGTCCCACCGCGACGCCCGCCAAAAAGGCAGCCGCGACTGCCCAGTCGGAACCGACATTCGCCTCCGAGCCAAAAATCAAGCTACCGCCGCCAATTATAATCCAAGAAAAGGCAAAGTGGCATCAGATATGTTCATGGTTCGAACGCCATAACATACGAGACCCCCGGTCCAAGAATACGCATATGGGTATCCGCGTATACCTCGATTCTTCGGACGATTTCCGCCGCGTAACGAAATACTTGCGCGAAGCTGAGGTAGGTTTCCACACCTACTCACTACCCGAAGAGCGTAAACTTCGGGTCGTAATTAAGAGCGTCCCAAGAGAGTCGGATGTCGATATGGCTAAGGTCGACATCCGCACTCAGGGATACCCTGTTCACGCCGTGCGTCGACTCAGGCACCCTCGCACCCGTGTCCCTATGGACATGGTCATGGTGGAACTTGACCCTACCCCGGAAGGTAAGGCCAACCTTAAGAGGGTCTGTGGGCTCAGTGACTTAGTCATCGAGCCCCCACGTAAATCAGGTGTTGTGGCACAGTGCCACAACTGTCAACATTTTGGCCACACGGCCAATAACTGCTTCGCTCACCCAAGGTGCGTCAAATGCACCCACGACCACGGCACAACCGAGTGCACGAGGCCGAAAGATTGCGCAGATCCACCGGACTGCGTAAACTGTCACACTACCGGCCATCCGGCTAGTTATAGAGGCTGCGCTAAGGCCCCGAAAACTCCCGCGAGAAAATCTCCCGCGAAGTCTACGTTGCCCAAACCCGCGCCCGTTAAATACATTCCCGCGCCCGTACCCGTCACAAACGCCTGGGCGAAACCCCAGGTGGCCGCGCAGGTAAACGCGCCGGTCGCCTCACGACCGATCGCACAACAGCTGCCCGCCTCTCAAACGGCGCCGCGGCCGCAGGTGCAGCCAACTCCGTCAGTTTTCGCGGAAAACAAGGACGACCCATTCGCGCAAATCGCTAATATTTGCAGCTTACTTGATAGAATCAATAGGCAGGAACTCGCCGTATTGTCCGCTAAAATAGCGGCCGCCACATCTGGCCACGAGCGTCTTAGGGCAATTAGCCAACACAAAACGCTTGTGGAAGCCCTTTGGGCTTTTACGAGCCAACCGTAAAAAAAACAATAGTCCGCGCAATAAAACCGCGCTCCGACGCGTCGTTAATTAGACCCATAAAAACACCTTAATGGGAAGTACAACCGCAGGTAGAACAAAACCTCGGGCTCTGGTTGTTTCGTATTTCAACGCAAACGGCATAAAGGGTCAAAGGGATGAAATCGCGGAATTCCTTCGCGATTATAACGTAGATATTTTCCTAGTGCAAGAGACATTCTTGAAACCTAGTGTACGCGATCCCAGAATCGCAAATTACAATATTGTCCGCCACGACCGGTTAGCAAACCGTCTGGGAGGCACACTAATTTATTATAAACGGCCCTTGCACTGTTGCTCGCTCGACATTCCAGAGCTAAGTCAAATAGAGGCATCCGCGTGTAGGTTAGCGCTCACCGGCCACAGGCCGCTTGTACTAGTCTCAGCCTACCTCTCGGGGAATAGAACCCTACTTCAAAGCGACCTAGATACGCTTCTTAACTTAGGCCCTTCCGTGATAATTGCAGGAGATCTAAACTGCAAACACGGCTCATGGGACACCAACAGCATCCCAAATAACAACGGAAAGCATCTCTTTAGCTTATCCGATAACTTAAACTTTAGCATAGTCGCTCCCGCGACTCCCACTACGTATCCTACGGTGGACAACTACCAACACGCATCACCGAGTGTCCTAGACATCATGTTATTCAGGGAGGTCTCGCTCGACATCGAGTCGATAGAGACAATCCATGAACTAGACTCAGACCACAGGCCCGTCCTGTGTAAACTGGGCCAGAACGCCGGCGCGGTCCCTCCTACCAAATCCGTAGTGGACTGGCATCGTCTTGAGGTCAAACTCAAGGCCTTGGACCCCCAGGACTTAGTAGACTTACCCGAGACGATAGCTACGTTCGATGACGCAAATCGAGCGATAGCGAGTCTCCGCGAAACTATTACTTCCGCAGTCACAGACTCGGAACGGACGGTGAAACTGTCGGGTGACCGACGGTTTAACTTTCCGCCCGACCTACGACTGCTAATTAGACAGAAATATGCAGCCAAACGCGCCTTCGACCGATACCGATCGGAATCGAACCGAACCCTACTTCGACGCCTTCAGCTAGAAGTCAAAGATCGTGTATCGGAACACCGGCATACAACGTGGGACAATCTCCTAGAGGACATCGAGCCATCGCACACCGCCTACTGGCGGTTGGCCCGCAGTCTGAAAGCAGACCCCCGCGAATCTCTACCGCCGTTAGTTAGACCTAATTGCGCTTCAGTAGCCCTAGACGACTCCGAAAAAACCGAATGCCTTGCGGACAACCTAGAACAGCAATGTACGCCATCGCGCGGACACACCGATACAGTCCACCTAACGGGGGTGGACCGCGTAATCGAGACTAGGGCTGCGCTTCCACCGGAAGGCGAATCTTTAAATTCAGTGACCCCCGAAGAGGTCCAAGATATTATTAAAAATCTAAAACCGAAATCCGCCCCGGGCCCAGATAATATCAGTAACAAAATTCTTAAAGCTCTCCCTGGGCCGCTTATCTGTTTACTGGCGACCATTTACAACACTTTACTCTCCAGTTACTCCTTTCCCGACGACTGGAAAGAAGCCACGGTTATCGGCATTCGCAAGCCGAATAAACCAGCCAACCAGCCCTCTAGTTATCGTCCCATCAGCCTCCTCAGTTGCCTGGGGAAGCTCTACGAGCGGCTTTTATTAAACAGGCTCAATGAACACGTGTTTACCAACGGCCTTCTGCCGGCGGAACAATTCGGCTTTCGAGCTAGAGATTCCTGTCCCGATCAACTATTCCGCCTAACGGAACATATCCTAAAAGGCCTAAATCACCCTAAACATATTAGTACAGGGGCTCTTTTCTTCGATGTCGCAAAAGCATTCGACAAGGTCTGGCACAACGGCTTGCTTTACAAGCTGTACACACTCAAAGTGCCAGATAGGCTCGTACACACCATCCGGGCCTTCCTGTCAAACCGCTCTTTTCGATATCGAGTTGAAGGCACCCTCTCCACAAGCCGCCGCCTCACGGCCGGCGTACCACAAGGCTCCTGCCTCACCTTTGCACCTTTGCTCTTTACGCTCTACACGAGCGATATACCTAAAGACCCCCACGTCAATCTCGCGCTTTTCGCGGATGACACGGCGCTCTTTTATTCAGACCGCAACCTTAGACTACTAACCACTCGACTCCAAAGCGCCGCCGACCGCCTCGGCGACTGGTTCCGCAAATGGAGAATAGAAATAAATCCCGAAAAGAGTGTAGCGACTCACTTCACACGAAGTACTTACCCGTCACATCTTTATAATGGTCCTCGCCAATGCAGAAAGTTGGGGCAAATATCCCTTTATGGCCAACCGCTCCCCTGGGAGAAAAAGGTCAAATACTTAGGAGTCACTTTCGACTCGCGTATGTCATTTACTACGCACGTTAATAACGCTCGTAATAGAGCCGCGTTCGTCTCCGGCCGGCTACACAATTTAACTAACGCTAAAAGTAAAATGCCCTTAAGGCACAAATTATTATTATATAAGACCTGCGTACGACCTATTATGTCCTACGCATGCATGATCTTCGCCCACACGCACCCTACTCGCTTGTACAAGCTGCAAATAGTAAAAAATAAGTTCATCCGCAGTGCAACCGGTGCGCAGTGGTATCAACGCAACGTCGATCTGCACAGCGATTGCAGACTCCCGACGATTCGCGAATATTTTAAAGACCTGACCAAACGGTTCTTCGATAGAAGGTTCTTCGAACATCATCCCAACTCTCTGGTGGTAAGCGCAGCAAATTACCAATCCGACACAAACGCGAACGTCAACAAGCGTCGTCCGCGAAACGTCCTCATCGACCCGGTCGAGGAAGGGGACTTAGATACGCCGGACCCACCGCCGGGGGTCCCGAGGACAACACTACACCCACAGTTAGTGCAACAACAAACACACTAGTTCGCCCTCGCCTCCGAGCACGGCGAGACCAACACAACGCATACACAAGGTACACCCGCGTTCCAGGGCGGTTCTCACCGCCCCCAGCCACCGATTAGCTAAAAACACAGTCGTCGGCCATCGGGGTCTCGGTCCGCACCGCAACTTCGATGGCCCTTAGATGACATGTCGTAGTTAAACGCACGCATGAGCACATGCGCGGCTCTACCCACAGCGGAGGGCCCAAACCCGTGGGTTCTGGCTAGCCCACCGGTTCTGCGTCAGATGAAGCTTTAATAGTCTCGGGACTGAAAGCAAAAACATCAGTTAATACAAGATACAAGATACCGGAATTATATTGACATGAACAGGCATAGATTAATAATTGTAAGTAGGCAGTTTACTCGTTAGTCGATTATCCATCTTTTTTACCCATATTGTGTCATGTTTGATCATCGTGGACCAGCTGCACTGTTTCTCCTGAGTCTATAGACCTCATTTGATGCAATCATGAAGCCAAAGCCATCGTGCTAAAACGAACCTACTTAAAAAAACTACCTCCTAAAAGCTACTCATCATCTTCTGAGGCAGCCGCGGGTGCGCCTAAGCCTGGTCAAGCAAATCTCTCCAGCCCGATCTATTCATGGCTTTGTTTCTCTAGCCTATAACAGCCTATATACGATACATAAAATTATAGTACAATTATAATATGCGCCAAGCATTGCTTCAAATGCTAAAAAAACAATGTAGATAAAAGACGTTAAGATTTTCGTCGGGGTGGCAATAAGCCGTTTAGCTTAATGGCTAAAATGTCAGGCCGCGAATGCCGAAGACGTGGGTTCGATTCCCACAGCGGCGACAATCTTTTCGTATTTTTTCTACAAATTTTAATATTGTGGACCTGTTTGGCCGAAACCCACGCTGATACTCTCCTAAGCTGTATTCTACATATCGCACATTGATAAGAAGAGTGTCACTATCCAAAAAAGCTGTTTTTTCAGTAGAAGCATTTAAAGTTTTACCAAACAGTAATCACTTGTTTTGGTCAAGAAATAATATAAAAATAATATTATTTTATGGTTTTTATTGCAGAGGGCATTAAGTGCGACTAAAATGCATCCTCTTTTTCTGAAAAAGTATTTTTAATATAAGTTATTTTTCCAAAAAAAGTTTTTAGTGACGTTATTCAAATAATTAAAAAGTTCAGCATTTCTTACTTCATGACAACTTACCGACACAATAATAATAGAAAAAATGAAATTACGCAAAGAAAAATCTAAGTTTTTATTTATAAAATATGTTTTATAGCACAGTTTAATTCGAAATACTTAAACATTAACCTATCTACGACTGGAACAGCTGGCTAAATAACGTTTTTTAAACATTTTAAGACTAATATAAAATTATAACCATTTAAAAAAAATTAAAAAATCACCTAGTACTATTAAATCAATATCCTCCATTTAATTAAAACGAAATGCGACACTAAATAAATTACGACATTCTGATTTAATCATCTATTCCGATACTTCAATTTCTGTAAATGAACGTTGACACAAAAAAAATGGCAGTATGTCTTTTTGATCTTGCAAGTTTAAAAAAAAACATATTAAAACACGACACTTAACCAAATGTGACGTTGTTCGTATAAAATTTAATTAGTGCTTACGAAATATTCTTAATCCAAATAGCATTTAAACAGAAAATGTCAGTATGAAATACACTAGATACAACCTTTTTGGTTGGCTTTACAGTCACAAATGAAAAAATGGCGGTCTGTCGTAATAGATCGCGTCAAAATGTCGATATAGCAGTTGACACTAGGCCATATACCGGACGCTATTATAGTTACGAGAATAGGTGGTTTTGCAAAAATGTAGTATACTTCGAACGCTAAAAGTTGGTACAACTTTCACAAAAACACATTTTTTTGTATAGTGACGGTCTTCTTATCAGTGTGCGATATGGCTTTAATTTAATGAAAAATACAATTTACTAAAAACTACTACCTCAAAAAAATATTAAGATTTCTTTATGGTACCTGTAGATTCATTTTAAGTTTTTAGTTAGTAATGAATAGCAACAATATCTTCTTTTCTCTCTGTACTAAGGATTTCAGCAGTGAAAAAAAATACATATATCGATATGTATTAAAATATTAATATCGATTTCGATACCTCGAGTAAAAAATATATATCGATATATCGTATAGATTATATAGATGTGATACAATATCGGTATCTTATATACATAATATCGACATATCAGTCAAATTAGAAGAAATTAAAAGCTAATTTCAAAAAGGAAATAGTTATTTTATACACTATGTACATTACTTTAATGTATGAGAATCTTAATGAACTCGATGCTATTTAATCACTAAGGATTAGTAACCAAGAATTACTCAATTAGTAAATATCAAAAATGAAATATCAATTTCGTAATATTTTTAAGACCAATATATTATTTCAGGCAAGCCTGTATTTGTCTGGTAACTGAAGTAGAACAATTGCTCTCATCATGCTCCCTTGACAGCCGACTCTTATTATTAGGAACCGCTAAATTTACAGAAGCCACTCTCTCTGAAGGCACGGAAGAATCCGTAGCGTTTCCTCTTTTTTCATAAGATTATAGATATCTAATAATTTGTACCGATATATCGATGTAGCGGCTAAAATATCGATATATCGATGCAGGTATCGACATTTTTTCAAGAAGCATAGTCAACTTTAGCTGTCAAGTCATGACATGACATGAAGTCATGAAGTCAAAGATAAATTTGAAAACAACTGCTGCATTTATGAAACTGTATTAAAAAGACTGCTAAAAATAAGGGTTCTTCTAAAAGTAAAATAAGTTTAATGATACTTGTATTTCATTCTGTATTTTGTACCTAGCACAAAATGGATATTAACGAAGGTATAAATTGTTCGTAAATAATAACCTAAGTTTACCGCTCTTGGCGGCTTTAAATCTTTTTATTTGCTTAAATGTGTTTGCAAGTTACTTGTATATGTTATATGTAATGTTAATGTTATATGTATTCTATGTAATGGATTTTTGTTGCTCTTTACATTTAGTAATAATAGCCACTGTTTTTTCTGTAATTTTTTATGTCATGAGATATCTTATTTTTGCTTCATATTATTTTTGATTTATTTAAATTATTATATTGCTTACCTGAAATTTAAGAGAACAACCGAACAACAACAAAAATTTTATATTGAATCTTTTATAATAGGTACTTCTATAGAGGATTTGTGGACACCATACAAAGAATTGGTTGCTGTGGTGGAGGGATACCTTGCTCATGAGAATGGAGGAGTACCATATGCTGTTCACACATTTGAATCAGTTCTAAGACGGCATAAGCAGACTTTCTTATCACTTTTAAAATATCCTGTAAGTATTCACTGTGTGTAATATTAATTATTTTACAAGAAAATGCTAACAATGCTTTAATGGATTAAATAAGAATGTGGGGAGAATAAAATGTATTGAATAAGAAAGAGGAAAAAAAGTGGGAATCATATGCCACATATGGCAATGTTAAACTAAGGTTCAAATCCCTAATCCAGTAATATCACTAAGATTTCATGATGCTTATATACAAGGCAACTAAAAGAGCTTTCAGTGTTCATGGTTGATCTGGGTTCTGCATGGCGTTGCTTTAGTACACAATAGCACAATTTTCGTTATAATTTTAATAGGTAGATTATAGGTCATTGCAATTGTCAATGCAAATTGTCAAGCAACATTGTTACGCCACCTTTTTTTAGAAACTATACCCCCCCCCCCCCCCCCCCCCCACAACAGCTGTCCCCATAATTGTTTACATAACTTTTCTTTTTACAGCCAAAAAACCCAGCAAGCAGGGAGGAGATAAAAAGAGGTGTAACAGAAGGTGTGAATTTGCCTAGTATAGGAAGAACACTATTATCAAAAGAGCTTATAGATGAGGCAATTATTATATCAGGTACTTAATACTTGTACTTTGTAATTCAAGAGTTTTCATAAACTTGTCATTTATAATAACTTCATAATGGTGTATCATTCTTACCTGTGTTGGGAGCATGGGCTGACAAAACTTTTAGCTTTTATAAAATAACAAAGGTCAGGGGTTCACGGGCTCTTAGACTAATAGGTATTGTACAAGACTACAACTGACTTTACTACAGTTCATCAGTTCAGTTGAAATATCGGGAATGACAAAATCAAAATAAAAACGCGATAAAATCCGTAAACTAGTTTCATTTAATATGAAACTAGTTTACGGATCGTTTACGGATAGTTTACGGAATCGACGTCAATATAAATTATCATTATAAGTATCCTATAAAATTCCTCTGCTGAACATCAGTCTCTCCTCCCATTATGGCACAATGATAAATAAAAACAAAATTTAATTGCCCGCAGACATGTACAATGTGAATGAATATGTGTGCCTGGAGCTCTTGCACACGGCGCAGCGACAGGCTGCACGGCATCCAGCCTTGGCTCGAGGGTTGCTTGCTGTGCTTCTGTATCATGACGGGCGACGCGCTTTAGTGCAGGCGCTACGCTCGCTCCTGGTGGCTCGTGACGGAGTCTGCTGGTTGGTAACAGTGCCTCTTTGGTCTTGGTCGTTGACCTCTTGTCTTGTGTTGATAGCAGGGACAATAACATGTTGATGTGCAGAATATGTTCGATTAGTTCAGATTAGCAAGTACTTACTTTCTTCAAATACATCAAGCTTGAAGCGAATATAAATTCCACAAACCTTTGTTTTCCATACGGGGTTTTAAAAGAATGGGCCCATGTAAGAATTAAATTAAAATCTCTTTTTTTAACATCTAATAATTCATGAAGTCGTTAAAGTATTTTGTGTTTGTGTATTTAATTGCAGATAATTGTTTATTTTTGGTGTAAACTTTAGAATGTTACTTCAAATTTGAAAACTTTCTGTAATAAAAGACAATTGAACTTGGAATTGTTTAAGCGCTACCTTTGCGACAATATGTTATTTTTGTTCCTTTATTAATTTATTAATTTCAGGACAATAAATGCACGTGAGGAGATAGTGAACTATGTTACCCGCTACGTTGAGCAACTAATATCGGATGGGCTGCTGGGCAACGTTTTGGATGCTCTTCGCCGCTGCTCTCTGGACTCGGAACTGGAGCTTCTGCAGAACAACAGGGCCTTGCCGCCTGGACGCCACCACGTGAGGCTCATCTCTACTATAGAGACAACCAGGTAATAAAGGGAATGTATTACAGTACATATATTTATTTACTTAAAGCAGTTTTTGCAATAAATTGTGTTGAACATATTTATCAAATGTTCTACATAACTTACATGTCATCCTTTTTAATAAAACTTAGTATAATATCGGAAAAACAAGGTGAACTTACTGTAATTATTAACTTCTCTGTACAAGTTTAAGTTGTACCAAATACCGTATAACAAATCGGGTAAAAACAAATGGAAAAAGCCGTCCAAGTGCGGGATGGAGTCGCGCACGAAGGGTTGTGTACCATTGTCTAGAAAAACGGCAAAAAAAATCATGTCTTGTATATGGGAGCGCCACTAAAACATTTTTTTAATTCTATTTTTTTAGCATTTGTTGTTATCGCGGCAACAGACATATATCATCTGTAAAAATTTCAACTGTAACTATCACTGTTCATGAGATACAGCCCGGTGACAGACGGACAGACACAAAGCGGAGTCTTAGTCATAGGGTCCCGCCTTACCTTTTGGGTACAGAACGCTAAAAACTTCCTTAGACAACCACAACATTAGATTTTTGTATTATATAAAAAACTTTATATTTTTGATCTTGTGTCGCACAAATAGTAATTAATTGTCTTGCAGAAAATTACTTGCCGGTGTCATATTCGCTGCATCAGCACAGAGGGGCCTCGAGCGGGATATACTGCTTAGATTATTCAGAGAAGTGAGTATATCTTGTTTTATTTCTTTTTACACAAAGCAGGATTTTGCATGTATAAAGTATGGACCCAACATTATTAATTTTTTTCAGCAAATGACGTCCCCCTCACATGGACCCACTGGCGCCTTAGATGAGATATCGCTTGCACTCCAAATGTCTCTTCTCTACGCTTTAGACTTGTCGGTTTTACACAGGTAAGATTATTAGAGATTTTTTCTGTAATACATATATTGTAATATATTTATCTCTGGTTATTACCTGGTATGTATATCTGTCTTGCTTTGAATATATGTAATAGTATAGAATAAGACTCATATTTTATAAAGTTAATTTATTTATTACTTTTTGAATATCTCATTCTTTACTAGTAATAAATAGTAACCTTTGTGTTTAGACCCAAGTTGTAATTACATATAGAGAAAACTTCATTATTATTTACACAATGTCAACATAAAACATCTTCAACAATTAAAAGTTTACCATCACATTTCTCCTCAGGCGAGAGGACGGCGAAGAACTGGCGAAGAAGTTGCCTCTCATCCAGGATCCAGATCTGATATCTGTCCTGTTGGACGAGCTGTCGCCCCCGACCAACCCTAACCAGACTCAGGATGGTCAAGACAAGGGCTCAGGGCTGAGGGCTCTGTGCCAACTGTCGCTGGGGTTGTCTCTAGCGGCCCTGAAAAGAGCACCCCAGTCCCTACTGAGGGGATCAAACACTGGAGAGATCAAGAGTGAACTACTGGACCAGGACGAAGTACTTGTAGACGCTGCTATTGATGGAAAAGTTAGTGAATATCACTACATAGTATAAAGCAAAGATGACCCGTTATGTGTCTGTCCCTATGTATGCTTAGATCTTTAACACTGCGCAACGGATCTTGATGCGGTTTTTTTTACTAGATAGTTATTCAAGAGGAAGGTAGGGGCGATTCGCTAGTATATAAATAGTTTGAACATGATTTTGTTGGTTCTTCCACAACAACTGAGGCATAGCCAGCCATGACAAAAATGGACCCCTGCTACCTCACTGACCAGCCGCAACGCGATGATATAATACTTCCACTTCAAACCTTCATCTGTGGATCAATGTGCAGCAGCAAAAACTGCTGATGCACATTGTCTCACAGAATTGGTATAATTCCTACATTGGGCGAGAATTGAGAGTTGAATTCATCACTGTGATCGGTGTGAAGATAAGCCGTTAACCGTTTATCTCAGTGGCGTCGGGCGAGTATCCCGGAGGACACAGGTTCAAATTCTAGAAATAGCGAAAAACTCTTAGACAAATTTTCAAATTTCATCTTAGTGCTGAGAATAGCACTATGAAAATGAATACATAATATAATTTCAATACAATTTAAACTGTCCCTAGGTGTTCGAGTACCTCCACGACGCGATCCTGTCGAGCGACTTGGTGGCCTCCGAGGAGTACTACCAGCGGCGCATCCACTCGCTGATCACGGACTTCATCGTCCTCATGCACTCCAAACTTATGGAGATGAGGGTCAAGTGCGTTCGGGACCCTCCCTTTAAACCTTGTGACTCTCTCCTTGACCCTTGTGACTCCCTTAACCCACGTGACCCTCCTTTAATCCATGTGACTTCCTGTAACCCTTGTCTAGAATTATTTTCAGTTCAATTCTGTGTTTGTGTCTGATACAGGAATTCTCTTCAGTACTCGAATCATAGATATAGATATATATAGAGATATATATATATATATATAGAGTCGTAGCAAATTTTTCGTACTAAGTAAGCCTTTTCGTTTGATAAACTAGGGGTAGGTTACAATAAAAGTCTTCCGTATTTCTTAAATTAAAATGATGTGCAAGCAGCGTCTGTGTAGATCGGACACAAAATTGATAATTAAAAAACGTGCAACCCTTTTCACTCTGTCCCATGAGACTGATTTGGCTAATATTAAAGATGAAAGCGATAATTCTCTGTGTGTTTGTACATTGCGGGGAATGGGTTGGGTAGTAAGTACCAAGTAGGCATTAATGGGGCGTGACGTGACGCGTGCCGCGTGACGTGACGCGTGACGCATGACGCATGACGCGTGACGCAGGGCGGAGGAGGCGGCGCGCGCGGTGGCGGCGTACGCGGCGGAGGGGCTGGCGGCGCCGGGCGGCGCGGCGGCGGGGCGCACGCGGCTGGGCGCGCTGCTGCTCTGCGTGGAGCGGCTCTACGCGCGCGACCCGCTCGCGCTGCGCGGCGACTACTGGCGCGCGTGCGACGCCGCGCCGGCCGCCATCAGGTGCGCCGCACGCGTGTCCATGTTCATTACTGCTCATGTTACTGCCTACTAACTGCCTACTACAAAATGTTCAAAGTTTTTATTTTAAATAGGTCACATTACGTTCGACTCCGGCATTGGGAAAGAAATAATTCCTTTGTCACGGGATTTACGTGCATTATGATCGCAGTATCAAAGTGCAAAATTCGATCCAAATATTTATATGTCCCGTAAAGTGAATGGCAACTTTATTCAATTTTCGGCCCGCATTAGTGGTCAGTAACATTGGAGAATAAGGTTGGGGTAGACGGTGAAAGATTGAGGCGGACTATACGAAAAATTATGTTTTTTTTTAAATATTAAAATTTATAATGCAATCTATCTAGCGATATTCAGCATTAGGTTGGTATTTGTAGGGAAAAATTATATGTGTGTGAAAAAGTTGAGTATGTGGATGAAGCCTGATGGAGAAAAGCGAAAGGAAGGGACGTTGTGCCGATCTTATCTTGACTCCACTCTATGTGAATAGAGATAGGAGGACACAAGAAAGTATGTATTTATGTTACAATGATATTATATGATGCAGGGCGGGCGGGCGGTCGGCGTCGCTGTACAAGTTCGTGCGGCTGTCGGGCGAGGCGGTGTGCGCGGCGCTGCTGGGCGGCTACCTGCGCGCGCTGGCCGCGCTGGCCGTGCCGCGCCACGCCTGGGCGCTGCTGGCGCGCCGCGACGCGCTCTCCGCCCACCACCTGCTCACCGCGCTGCAGCTCTACCACCGGTGCGTCGCCGCCTGCCCCATTTGTAGGAATGGATATGACATTAATACTGTCATTATCGTTCCTGTTAAATATGAAAAATTAAATATTTGCATGCTATTTTTTTAAGATTTTCACATGCTTCCTAACACTAGTCAAAAATTCTAAAACAACTCCATCCCTCAGGAACCTCCGCGCCGACCCTGCGCCGTTCTCTGACCATCTGCACTCGTCGTCTTTGGGCGCATCCGCCATACTGACCCCGGCGGCTAGACCAGGGAAGCTGCTGGTCAGGCAGGAAGAGGTGAGGGAATATCATAATTTAGAAGTACAGTAACTGTGAGAAAGAGAGAGAGAGATTTTTACTTTTAGTTTAAGATAAGATTTATCGTTTTTAAAGAGCGGTTTTTTAGATCTTATATTATTGATATCGCGTAGTAATCGAAGTTGTAAACCCCAGCGCCGAAGCCAATAGCTAAGCAACTGCACTACTAAGTCATCATCACACTGTGTCTATCTATAATACTAGTATGTTACGTAAAAATAATAGTACTTTTTTAACAATGGATGATGATGTTTACAGGTGGAGGCGATGATAGCCGCCCTGAAACTGATCGCGGCGGTGGCGCGTGTCGACGAAGCGGCAAGCTGCGCCATCTGCGAGAATCTTCAGTGGGACGCAATTAACTGCATGTTTGGTGAGTTGAATATATTATTTTTTATATTCCACGAAGTAACGATCGGTGCCTAGCCTCCACCAGCAGCTCAGGATCATGGTTGTTTGCGGTGCAGGCATATATGTTCAGCTGTGGACTGAAACAAGCTAAAATTATTAATGTAATAAAATTTAGTTGAATGAAATCAATAAATTTATTTAGGAAATATTAACATTATACATAGTAACATTCAAGAAATAGTAACATTCACAAATTAAAATGTTATGAAGCTGTATAATGTAATATCTTCTTGATACATATTTACCATAGGGTAATTGATTTGTAGTGAATTGCAGACCTTTCTGTATGATTTTTGAATTATATTGTTTTTTTTTTATGGAGAAAAGGGGCAAACGAGCAGGAGGCTCACCTGATGGTAAGTGATTACCGCCGCCCATGAACACCTGCAACACCCGAGGGCTCACAAATGCGTTGCCGGCCTTTTAAGAAAGAGTACGCTCTCTTTTTGAAGGTTCCCAGGTCGTAACGGTTCGGAAAGACCGCCGGCGGCAGTTGGTTCCACAGAGTGGTTTTTTGCGTGCTATTTAAGTATTTTAACTTGTATGTCAAAGAGAAAAAAAGAACTGAGAACTGATTATATATATACAATCCGATTGGTGTATTGGATAGTGTTTTTCTGGGGTCTGGGTGTTTATTTATCTATGATATGAAATTATTTACAAAAAAAAGTCTGTTTACTAGTTATCATGTGCAACACATAAAAATATATTACATAGCCCTGATACCCGCTGTTCGGAGGAGGTCTTTGCTCGGCTGTGGGATGATACTTGAGTTAGATGTTTTGTATTGTAGTATCTGCGTTTGTCGCGCCGCAGGCCTGATCTGCTGCCACGTGCCGATCCAGCTGAAGGCGCAGCTGTGCCTGACGCTGGCGGCGCTGGGCGGGCGCGCCGCCACCGCGGGCCGCGTGTGGGCGGCGCTGGAGGCGGCGCAGCTGGTCTCCGCGGCGGCCGACAGGCGGGCGCTCAACGCGGAGCTGCACGAGGTGGGGCCTTTCTATGGACCCTTTCCCTTTATGGAATCGGGGGAGTGCCGGTGAGGAACGGGTACTCGCTAAAGACCCACGTTGCGCCTGTCTCTCTCGCATCGGGACGCGGGAACACGTGGACGCAATCTTCTGCGACCAGGTGGGACCTACAATATGGTTGGGGGAAGTGTCCTTCAGGGGTGTTTCAATCGTTTAGGAAGTGTGCATCACCCGTAGGGTTGCAGATGCGTCGCCAATTCTTTTAAATTGGGCCCCGGCTACCTCAACCAGCAGACGAAACCGCCGTTCTTCTGTGGGGTGGGGTACTCACCTGGACGGACCTTCCATTCGTACAACAGCCGAAGCTGTTGCGTGGGCCAACCCAAAATAACACAGTAAAATTCCACTACTCTATGCTTTTTTTTCTCATGTATAATTTTCAGATCATTAAAATTATGGACTAAGATTTGATGCTAAGAACAATCTTTTATAATTTAATTTTTGTGCGTATATAGTACATGAATATCACGTTTACGTGTATACAGTTTATCATGTCATAAAACATTTTTGTAAGTTAAGTAAGTTTATTTTATTACTATGATAAAATTCTGGTTGTCAATGGTGGTTTTAAAAAAATGGTTTGTAAAAAAAATGAAAGTTGAATTTCTCAAAATATAGGTTGAACGAAGAAGGAACACACCAGAAGAATGAGTTTTCCAATACCTAGTTGTGTAGCTTACACCGCCAAAAAAATCTTTTTTTATGGTTTAATAGCAGAGGAAAATATTGTACTTTAAAAATATAGCACAAGCTTATTAATTTATACCCCTAAATCTAGACCTTGGGTAAAGACGAGGCGTCTTCAGTCAGTCAGTGTTAAAGTTTGATTCAATAGTGTATAAATTAGAGAATAACACTAAATATCACCGATATATCGTGGCGGTTTTGCGTCGGTCTAAATTCATGATAAACAGCTAAAACGAATTGACGTTGGCCCAGGTGGAGTGCCGCATGGAGGAGTACCCGTTGTCGCGCGCGTTCCTGCAGCTGCTTGAAGCGCTGTGCAGCGCCGCGCCGCTGCCTCGCGCCCTGGGCGCCGGCACTCGCCCCCCCGGCCTGGAGCCCTACGTGCAGCACGTGCTGCAGCGCTTGGCGCTGCCCGCGCCGCACCGCAGCTACGCGCTGCCGCACGAGGAGTGGCAGGTGGGCACAGTGGACTGTGGGCCCGTCTCTGATGCAGAGGATATGGGCTCGGTCCTCACTACTGGAGAATCCATGCATGTACTACAGGGAGTGCCAGGTTGGCTCAATGGGTCTGTGAATCGGTCTCATGCAGGGTATGGGTTTTATGGGTGCAAAATCTATTATGTCTCAAAGGCGTTATTTTGTTTGTACTCCATAATTTCCATTCCAATCCAACTTAATGATTTAAACACCATTTTAAAGCCTGGCCATCTATTGACAATTTGTCTGAATGAAAGATGGGGATGTGGGATATTAAGTAGATTAATTATGTTACCGTTTTGTTTTTATGTTATCATTACCTATAAAAACATGCAAGATTTATTCATTTAAATTTAAAAAAAAATTGCCCTTCCTGTGGGATAGCATTATCCTGTATTGTAAAATTGTTGGCATACACATACTGTATAATGGTCAATAAGCGAAACGAAGCTGAACGCTAGCTGCGGCGGCAGGTGCTGGCGCTGTGCTTCCGTCTGTTCGCGCGCTGGCTGGAGCAGTACGAGCCGAGCGGCGGGGACTTCCCGCCGGCGGGCCGCGAGCCGGAGTCGAACCCGCCGCCCGGCTTCACGCTGCTGCTGCAGCTGCACGCCGACTCGGAGCTGCTGCGGCTGGCGCTCGGCTGCCTCGACCGCGCCAACCACCTGCTCGACCGCCAGCCCCCGCCCGGCAAGGTGCTTCGCTTATTTATTTATTTATTTTGGATCAATAACAACCCTAACCTCGATTGTATGCCCTTCGGTATTGTTATCATATATTAAGGCTCAAAACACAGGATAAAACACTATCCTGCGTTGCGAGAACATTTCACAAACATAAATTTCATTGGACAGACTTGAAACAATTATATGTGGGTCGCTCCAATGGTGCTCCCGTATGGTAATCGAACCCACGACCACCGACGCCGAAGCCAATACGTTCATCGTCAGTCATCATTAGATTAGATTAGATCAGCGGTTCCCAGTTATTTTTCTCGTCCGATTTCAATATTCAATAGGTATTTGACATTAACTCATTAGCATTTAGAAGAAGATTCTAAAGATTAAGTTCGTAAGATTCCTTCTATTTGTAAGTAGTTGGCCTTGAAGTATACTATGGAATAATTATATATTAATTACCTCTAAAAATGTATAGTTTAGTAAGTCATAAATGCAAACGAAATTGATACATTTTTTAATGAACAGAGTACAATGTTGCAGAGACAATTTCCATACTAAGTGCAGGTCAAAAAACTCAGTCGGATTTACATGCTACAGCTATAAGTGACTAGTTCCAAGACAGGCTTCAATCTAATTTGTTTGAAACTTAAAAATGTCTACGTACGTACACGATATATAATGTATACGTCTGTATTATTGGTTCAGGAGTTTGTGGAGGAGGCGCTGGTGAGCGTGCTGCGGATGCTGGAGAGGGCGCTGACGCTGGAGCGAGCTTTGACCTCGGCCGCTGCGGAGGCCGGTCGAGCGGTGCTCATAGTCGGTCTATCGAAACTGATGCTGGGTAGGCTATTGTACACTTTCTGCGAGTGAATGGATGAATGAATTGAAGGATGAACGAATGGAAGGGCTAGAGCAAAGAGGATGCGAAACGTTATATGGTGACCTTCAGAATTCATTTGTGGTAGGCCCACAACGGCTTCTGCACTTGCAAAAATGGGCAGGTTCGGCCGTGGACGTACCGTCGCTTAACAGAAGACCGGTGTAAAGTGGTAGTATAAACTATAACCGAGACTTTTTAACAGTTGGTAATGTACCTGCAACCCGTTAGATGTTGTAGGTGTCTATTGGAAGTAGTATTACATCATCGCTTCAGCCCGTTAGAGTCCCCATGATGATGTTTCCGCGTGTGCGTGCAGCGCCGTGCGGGCCGGAGAAGTGCGACCGGCTGGTGTCGTGCTGCCGCGCGGTGGGGCGGGGCGGCGAGGCGGGGCGGCGCGCCGTGGCGCTGCTGCGCAGGGCGCTGCTCTCGCCGCGCGCCGCGCGCCACCTGCTGGCCTCGCTGGCGCACCGCCACGCGCTCGCCGCGGAGATCAGGCGAGTGCCTCGCTGCCATCCTCATTTCTATCGCACCTAAGAGAGAGGCAGCCCTGACGGTACTCGTTTTTACTTCTACCGTGTGTCTGCCCTGTCCGAGAGAGGCAGATCTGACGCTCGTCGTTGTTATCTCTATTTAACATAAGTTCAGGCGTGTGCCAGCCCTGCCCGAGAGAGGCAGCCCTAGTGGTTATCGATATTATTTCTATCGAACGTAGGCTCAGGCGTGTGCCGGCCCTGCCCGAGAGAGGCAGCCATGACGCTCGTCGTTATTACTTCTAACGAACATAGGCTACGTACAGCCCCTAGCCGCCTGCATACAAATTACATGCGGTTGAAGTAAAACTAAAAGAAAAAAAATTCTTTAAAATAATTTACAATAATTTAATAAGCTATTGTTAATGTGTTAATAAATTTTCAATAATTTATTATTTTAATATCATTTTCATTTTTCATTCAAAAATAGGACGCTGTATAATCGCGATATCGATAACCCTTTAGTTACCCCTCAAAAAGTTTTACTGCAACAAGAGACAACCCTAACAATACTCAATGTAGTTACTCGCCTAACGCTCGCTTGTAGCTGAATTAAACTTTCGCGTTAAAAACAGGCTTGAGACAGCCCTAACGATGTTAAAGATATAATTATCATCATACAATCACTGGCATGAACCCTAACAGTGAAAAAAATCTCAGTCGATTTAATTAACAATAAATTGTCTACACTGTACAAGCTTGAAGAATCAAAGTTGCTACTACCAATATTAATGTCAAGTATCAAGATCAACACAACATAGCAATATTATGGGTCACAGATAATAATGTTTGCCTACTGCAAGAAAAAAAACTTACCATTTTCTTACATAATGCTTACATTGCATTGGAGTAGAGCGACAGCGGCTCAACTATGGAAGCACTCGAGGCTCACATAGAGTGTATCAGTGTAAGTTGTAATACACACACACACACACACACACACATACTAACAGAGCCGTCTATCGGCAGGCACGAGTTCGTGGAGTGCCTGGAGGCGGAGGAGTGGGGCGGCGGGGTGGTGGCGGGTGCGGGTGCGGGTGCGGGCGAGGAGGGGGGGGGGGGCGCGGAGGGCGAGGCGCGCGCCGCCAAAGAGGGGCTCGTGATGCTGCTGCTGCAGCTGCTGCCCGCGGCCGCGCCCAACTTCGCCCACTTCCTGCTCGGCTACCAGCTGCATGATGATGTACGCACCTTTCCTGTTAGCCTACGACGGACAAAGGTCATCACGTCCTTTAGACGGCCTGGGTGACGTAGCACCTGAGTAGACTGGGTGACAGCGCACCGAGAAGAGGAGGCCTAACGGCCGGTTCCAATGTTCAATCTGAAGATAGATTTGGTTAATGGAGATAGAACTTTGACATAAGTATTATGGAGCTAATGTCAAATGCCTATTGCAACAGTTGCAATTTACATTGCAGTGACAAAATCTAGAGATATATAGAGTACTAGCTTTTCACCCGCGGCTTCGCTCGCATTGAAGCCTTTAAATAAAATCTTTCTTTAACATCTATATATATTATTTAAATTTCTTTTTTTCCCAATAAAAAAATATGTCTATGTCCTTTGTCAGGCTCTAGACTAGCTGTGTACCAAATTTCATTTAAATCGGTTCAGTAGTTTTGGCGTGAAAGCGTTACAGACAGACAAAGTTACTTTCGCATTTATAATATTAGATTAGTATGGAATGAACCCGGACGTAAGAAGGCAATAGTCGTGCTTTTCTATAATTTTAAATGTAAGCGCGGATGAATTATACAATCCCCCCTTCCCCGGCCTGGCAGGTGAGCCGCAGCGCGCTGCACGAGGCGGGCGTGGGCGGGGCGCCGCGCAGCTGCCTCCACTCCATCCTCGACATCCTCGACCAGCACGTGGCGCCGCACGCGCGCGAACGGTACTCACTCACCACTTCACCCATGCACTCAAACTCATCCATTCACTCAAACTCACCCATTAACACAAACTCATACTCACCGGTCCACTCAAATTCACTCAAGCTCAACAGCTCAATTATAAAAAAAAAAAAACAATCCCGCTCTGGTAAAGTTCCTACGCCGCCGGAGCAGTACTATAAAACCTCGAATATCATTTACACGTAACGTACAGCTCGCAAACTTTTGTATGTATCAGTTGGCTCCTCATACACTTACAGTACCATACACCCCATTGAATACCATATTGAGAGTGTTAAATGACATTATTGCCAATGATCACGGACAACACCAACTAAGGTAGCGAAACGGCAGTGACATGGAGTTTACCGTTGTATAGTCACGGGCTCGTACCCTAGAGGCATAAATTTCCCATTTCTTCAATATGCCAAACATGGCTTTGTTGCATTCGTGCCCAATTTACGGCAACAAGGCACGATGTTTAGAATTAACTGAGATCGATTTTGGCTGCACTGTAACGGCTATTTGTTTAGTTTTTAATATAAACTGATAATATAACTGATGTTATACTACTAAATTTACTACACTTAATATGAAACACTGAATTCGAAAGCATCGCTTAGAATGAGAAAAACAATGCAGATAAAATACTCTGAGATTTTCGTCGCAGCCGTTTAAGCTTAGTGGTTAAAGCGGCTGGGCGCGAATCCCGAAGACGTGGGTTCGATTTCCGTAGCTGCGAAAAACTTGCTACAAAGTTTGATGAACTGGTTATTAAAAATTCCCAGGGAGGCGAGCCCACTGGTGGAGAGCTGCTACCGTCTGGTGTACTGGCTGTGCGCCAGGCCAGCCACGTCACCGCCAGCCCTACGCCTGCTCCGTTCCCGGGACTACTTCTTGGCGCGCCACGTCAAGGCCACCATAAACCTGGAGGTAATGATTGTAATACCTTTAGAGAGACAGCATGTTATTGCCATCTCGCTCTGTGCCACTCCACAAAGATTATGATCTCGTCGCTTGCCTAATACAGTTCACAGTTTCACTGATTGGCTCATATTACAGAAAGAAAGAAAGAAAGAAAGATATATTTATTTGTTAGATTATGGTACAATATAGATATTAAAAGCTGTGGATCTTTTATGTTCTACCATTATTGATGTACAAATATTTAATTTTACATTAATTACATGCAAAGAAAACAATAAAAAAGAAAATAAAATGTAGGAAATGGTTTTTATAAATTTTTATCATTTGAATAATCCCCTGTGGAATAATAACATTTACTTATCAAAAGGTTAAACAGATTTCCCTTAAACAATTTTAAATTCAAAGTTTTAATCCATACAATAACAGATTTTGCTGAACATTGTGGTACGGAAAATACATTTTGTGTTTTGTGTACAATAGAAAAAGGTAAATGTGTAGTGAAAGTTGTGGGCCCGACTCCGGTATCGTTGTGGCGAAAGTTTCTCGTTAAAAAACAAGAAAAATGGTAGCCCGTTGAGTTTCTTTCGCCGGTTTTTTTCAGGTCCGCGGCTTTACTTCTCCGAATTGGCTGTAGTATTTTTACTTTAAAAAGTGGGTATAATGTTCCTATGTTGAATAAATAAATTTGAACGTGTCCATTTATGTATAAGTGCCTTAGCACCGTGGCTCCGTGGCGCAATTGTCAAGGTGTTAGACTTCGGCGTCGGGGGTCGTGGGTTCGATGCCCACACGGGACAACTACTCGTGCGAGCCACGCATCTGAAATTCATGCCCGTGGAGCGTCCTCGCAGCGCAGGGCAGTGTTGTCCGAAATACTGTAAAATAAATGAAAAAAAAAAAACTTGTCGAACCCTTTTGCAGACGGCGTCGGTGACGAGCCTGTCGTCCCGCTCGTGGGTGGTGCGTGCGTGCGCGTGCGAGGCGGGCGCTGCGGGCGGCACGCGGCAGCACGCCGCGCTCGCCGCGCTGCTCGACGCGCTCACCAAGACGGCGCACCACCCCTCGCAGGCGAGTCCCGCAGGGTCAAACGGGACCCCATTACTAACGCCCCGCTGTATGTCCGTCTGTCACCATTCTGTACCTCATGAGGTATAACGGGACCCTATTACTAACGCCCCGCTGTATGTCCGTCTGTCACCATTCTGTACCTCATGAGGTAAAACGGGACCCTATTACTAACGCCCCGCTGTATGTCCGTCTGTCACCATTCTGTACCTCATGAGGTATAACGGGACCCTATTACTAACGCCCCGCTGTATGTCCGTCTGTCACCATTCTGTACCTCATGAGGTAAAACGGGACCCTATTACTAACGCCCCGCTGTATGTCCGTCTGTCACCATTCTGTACCTCATGAGGTATAACGGGACCCTATTACTAACGCCCCGCTGTATGTCCGTCTGTCACCATTCTGTACCTCATGAGGTAAAACGGGACCCTATTACTAACGCCCCGCTGTATGTCCGTCTGTCACCATTCTGTACCTCATGAGGTAAAACGGGACCCTATTTCTTAGACTCCGCTGTATGTCCTTTTATAACCATTCTGTATCTCTTGAGGTAAAACGGAATCCTATTTCTAAGACTCCGCTGTTTGTCCGTCTGTCGCCTGAACCGTGACAGTTAGACAGTTAAAATTTTCACAGATAATGTATTTCCGATGCCGCTATAACAACGAATAATAAAAAAAAAATAGAAATAAATTGAAGAAAGAAAGCAAATGTATATAGCAATTGCAGTATTAGAACAGTGTTTTCGAAATAATAAGATTTTTAAATCATAGACAGTAAGTGCTTTAAGTTATATAAGACAATGCATAACCTGAAAAAAGACATAATTGAATAAATTGAATATAAATATGAAAATATAAAAAACGGATCATCAAAAGAATGAAAACATTATAAATGTATACCAAGTTAAACATTTTTTTAAATAATTTTATTTTAAAAATATTCAGAGAGCTACAAAAGATATCCACTACATACAATTCATTATTATATCTATTTATAAAGTATTTCTACAATAAACAAGTGTATAATTCTTACAAAATCTGGGCGGAATAAAGATTTTAATGTTGCTTGAGGAATTGGAAGTGGAGCTCCAGAATTAAAATTAATTTTAAAGAGCGTA